ACAGCCTGCAGACCAAGACGAAGGCGCTGGACTGTTCCTTTTTTAATTGGCAACACTTCGAGTGCATACAAAGTGTAATGCGAAGACGAAGTTGAATGTAGACACATAGACCAACCGAATACATATAGGAAGACGAATTCGATTACGACAACGACGATGAATATGAAGACGTACATACATCAAGATGATGCCCTTAAAAAATCGAATGGGAAGTTACATAGTTTACCTAAATTTCGTTAGCGACGAATTCAGTGCGCAAACAATGCGGTAAGCTTAGGTAAGGATGAAACGATACGAGTAAGTAAATACTCGATACTTTTCATTCGATACCAACTAATTTTAGTAGCGACTCTTTTGGACCAAGTACTAAGTAGGTATCGAAAAAAATACTCGTATCGAATTTTGCTTCGGAATTTTTTCCTTCAATGTTATTCCTAATATGAACCGTCCTGTGCTTTATGCAGGATCCAACTACACAAGATTTGACATGCTGAAGCAAAAGAAAACAATATTTTTCTGACTTCGACGTTCATAACTTCGACACCTTCCTGCTCTTAATGGCTGCTTAATATCCAGCGAAAACCGCGAGTAGACTTCAAAGTCGAAATACTCAAGGAAGGGGAGATTTGTTCTGTTATTGAGGAAGGGAAGAAAAGGGCAGGCTGCAAGGCCCAGCTATGAAAATTTAAACGCCATATTTGCATCTCGTCTGGAGGAAAGTTGATGTCAAATAGAAATGTTATTCTAATTTGCGGCATTTACCTAAAAACATAGCTACTAGAAAATCATTAATATTTAAATGTATATGCTGCTGAAGTACTTTTAAATTTTTTTGAATAAAATTCCATCATTATTTTTTTTTTTTGTATACTCTTCACAGCTCCAATTGTATGTGAAACTATACCAGTAGCCCGTTTCTGTAACTTTTCTCTACCGATTATTTCTCTACTGGTAGAGAAAATACGTCACTCTCACCTACTAATTAGCAGTAGAGAACAGGGCGGCGAATTCATATCTCGATTCGCCTTGGTAGAGAACTGTTACAGAAACGAGCTACAGGTCATGTAACAAAAATACATTTTTGAAACTGCCGCATTTAAATATTTGGATTTTAAATTTTGTATACAAGAAAGCCGACAGCACAGGATGATTAACTTCTGACTTAAAAAATAAAATTTATCTTAGTTAATGCGGAATACCTTCATAGCAAAAGTATGGATACTTTTCTGGTATCGATACTTCTTGCAAGTAAAAGTATCGATACCTTTATTGTGTCGTTTCATCCCTAAGCTCAGGCGAAGTGTAAAATCGAAACGAAAACTTTCGAATCTAACTTATGATAGTTTTTAATGAAAACATTTAGCCAAAAAAATAAATTTTTGATTTTTACTTCCGAATAGTATGGAAATCTTAAAGAATTCGTAAATAAATCATTATTACTCTTTCCGATTGATTGGCAAATTTTCTAAGATTAAAGGTACTGTCCACACTCCGATTCTTTTACGAAGTTGTAGAAGAAAATCGGCAAAGTAATTAAAATAATGCTGCGATGTGAAGACTTTTTTTTTGAATTTTCTTTAAGCAATCATACATAAATTTCCTTACAAGTTCATGTCAACCACTTCATATGAATTTAGATTTATGTAACTAAGATTTTAGGAACTGTGGTTTGTAGGGTATATGAGCTTTCGAATTAAAACAACCGACAATTTTGAAAGTTTCACAGCTGAGACCATTTACAAACGCAATTCTGCTGGCATATTTTATTATAGACGCTTCAACAATAAGTCTTTACTATAAACTCATCTTGACTAAACCTTTTAGGTCTCAAAAATTGTCATAGGTCTCTTGGCATTGGCTGGACTGCTGTCTCAAGCACCTACTATGGATGCCGCTAAAATACTTGCAGTTTTCATATTTCCGGCCAGAAGTCACTACCAGATGCATCGAACAGTTATTAGCGAGCTGGTGAAACATGGCCATCAGGTAAAAGCAGTCATGCGCTCACACAGCATTTATATGACGCTAACCCCATTTATGGTTAATCCATCATTAGGTCACCATGATCACCGCACACACACTAGAGCCACTCAAACTGGGGAGCAACTACACTGAGATACTCATTGAGCCGGAGTTCGATTACTGGAAGCATAGTGAGTTTTTTTTTTATGTCTTAACCCAACTCATATTGCTGCAGTGCATTTACTTATCATTCGTTGCAGTTAATAGCAAAGCCGGAGTAAAATCAAACTACGAATTAGAAGCTAGTATATTGCTTTATTTAAAATTGGTAAACTCGCTGGCTGTTGAAACTAGCGAACATGCGCTAAAACAATCGAAAGTGCAGGCTATTATAAATGCCAAACAAACTGAGGGTGTCTTCGATTTGCTGTTGGTAGAACAGTTTCAACAAGAAGTCTTTCTTGCCTTGGCTCATATTTATAAAGTACCTGTTATCAGCTCTGCCACATTTGCCAAGAACCTTTACATGAGTCAGATGTTCGGCATAATTTCGCCTTGGTCTTATGTTCCAAATGGTATGCTGGAACTAAGTGACCACATGAGCTTTTGGGAACGCGCTCAGAATACATTCAACTCGCTTGCATTTGATTTACATCGTGAACTTTGTTATTTTCCAGTTGTGGACAAACTTGTGCAGAAATATTTTGGACATTTACCAAGTAAGAATTGGACATATTTTTATGCACATTTAATTTCTCTTTGATGTAACTTCATAGCCTTTATGACTTAATTCTCTACTTTCTGGTAGTTAAGTTCCCTAGTGCTTCAGCTATGGAAAAGAATCTCTCTGCCATATTCATCAATGACTACACGCCCTTAGCGGCCGCTGCTCCAACAATGGATAACATGGTTAACATCGGCGGCATACATATCTCTCCACTGAAGCCACTTCCCACCGATTTACAGACATTTTTGGATGAGGCTGAGCATGGTGCCATTTATTTTAGCTTTGGCACCCAAGTTGAGACTAAGGACATGCCGCTAGAAAAGCTACAGATATTTACCGATGTCTTTCGTCAATTGAAGCAACGCGTCTTGTGGAAGTTCGAAAACGACAGCATACCAAATGTACCAGATAATGTTATCATTAAAAAGTGGTTGCCACAAAACGATATCTTGGCGCACCCTAACATGCGCGCTTTTATCTCCCACGGAGGCCTTTTCGGCTTACAGGAATCCGTCTACCATGGCGTGCCCGTATTGGGTATGCCCTTCTTCTTCGATCAGGTAAATTGAAACATAAACCAAAATATATATTTTTTTATTCAAGCACTGCAATTTCCTTCTAACTCGAGTCCGTTTCTTCCCCAGCAAATAAATCTCCTGAAAGCTGAATTTTCTGGATATGCTGTTGCTTTGGATTTTCGTAGACTTACACGTGAAACTCTAAAGAATGGCCTGGAGCAGGTGCTCTTCAACGCCACATATCGTGATACCGCTCAAAAATGTTCCCGTATTTTCCGTGATCGTCCAGTTGGTCCGCGTGAGACGTTACTCTATTGGATCGACTATGTGATACGCCACAATGGCGCACGTCATTTGCGCACTGCTGGTATGGATTTAAAATGGTACCAATTCTACTTACTGGATGTGGCTGCTCTGGTCATGGCTGCTGTGGCAGGCGCTGTCGGAGCGTCTGTTTTGTCAATGCGTTGGCTTTTAAGAAGGATGAAAGGTGGAAGTAGTAAACGCGAAAAGTACAATAAGAAAATAAATTAAATGCACATTTTCGTTTTTTTTTTCAAACAAACTTCTAAGGGCCGTAAACTTCGACTTATGAATACTTCGAATTTTTTCTGGTTTATTATATATCTTGTCGAAAAAAATTTTAATTATTAATTATTATATTAATTTATTCGTGTTCATGTCCTAACAGTTTTCTTGGGAATTCAAATATTCAGAAATATGAAAATATTTTTCTGTTGTAGCTGGCTGTTTTTTGCCAGATATGAATCTGGGTCGTTTCGGTTACGTAGGCCCGACTGTAGTAGGACCAGTTAAAGTTTTTTTCTACACCTCTGCTTCAATAATGCTCCATTTATGTATACATGTATCTCTGCTAAAAGTCAATCAATTTCACATCACATTTTGACGTTACTTTTGAACTTGGCTTTCTTCGTATTTTGCCTAATCTTCCAAAATTTCTTTTGCATTTTCATTTTCTCCTACATATTATTTAAAATGTGTTTTCTTTGACATACATATATGAATATGTATGTACGTACGTATTTATCTAGACTGCAACATAGTCATAAAAAATTTGGGATTTCCCTTAAGTAATTCGATTTATAGAATGTACGCGCGAGCATTTTTATGCGACCAGTTCGAGTAATGGAAGTACGGAGTCATAAGACCATGTACTTAATTCTCTAAATCCTATTGCCGCCGAATTTAGTTCAAGTTTAGAAAATTTGTGTTATAGAAGTTCGTGTTATGGAAGTTTGACTGTAGTTTTTTCACACTATAGAATTTTGTATTACTCTTATTATTAGCTTAAGTCTCGCATTTCGTATTTGTATTCATCTTAGTCTTAGNGAGCTCTTAACTGCAGTTAAGGTTTTGGTGGAAATAGGCTGTAAGGTAGCTGCAGATATTACTGTCGACATGAGTTTTTTCACTGTATGTGGTGTGTAGATCTCTATACATATATAAATAGGCAAGCATATGAATCAATTGGGAACAATTTTCTCCCATGTTTCTTAACCGATTCGAATGGTTGTTGCTTTTTGGAAAGGTGTTTTGGAGGTAAGTGCACAAAGTTTTAACTTTTCCGTTAGGTGGCGCAGGGGTCGCGCTATACTAAAAAATCGCATTTATAGACCGATTTGCTTCAATATATATATATTAAATAGCTACATAGGGATAACAAAACTTGCCGAAATTTTCAACATATTCCAGTTATTTCAAATTCACGGCCATGCAATAAACCATCATATCGATATATGTCTCTCATAGACATTTCCATTTTGATTCAACCGAGCCTTTCTGGAAAAGATTTTATTTTTAAACGAATTGTCATACATACATATGTTGCTCTAAAAACGAAAAATTGTCTAGATTAGCTTAGAATTTGTACATTTTTTAACAGGATGTATATCAATCTAACAACGTTAGTCAAGTCGGCGGGCCAGAGATTATTACTTATATTTTGAGACTTCAAAATCATCATCAACGTGAAGCATTATTGCCTCTATATTGATGACAGGTAAAGTGGTTAAGTGTGTAAAAAAAGTGAAGTGGTCGAATTTCGACAACCATGTGATACTAGTAACGATAATTATAACTAGAGCACACTTAACCCAATTAAAAAATTTGTTTCTGGAAAACAAACACAAAAAACACTTGTTTTAACCATGCGTGTTATATTCTAGTAATATTCACGCGATAAAATTCAAGTATAGTGGTAGGCTAATCTTTCTTTGTTATCAGATATGTCTAGGTTAGCACATCTTTTTAAACAAACTCCTAATGAGAAGGCAAATTTGATCATGAACTAAAATAAATGACGATTTAAGTATTATTCCTTTAGTAACAGGCCATTCGAAACCTTCGGCGTGCCGTAGCCCGAAGGAGCCACGTCCAAAAAAGTAAAATTCGTTAGTGGTGGTGCAGTATAAGAATGGTAATTATTTTCATGTTTTAACTATAAAGTTCCTATAAAAAGTTAAAGCAGCTCATAAAATTATGAGATATTTGAAATTTTTTGCTTGAAAACCTTGTGTGCCAATTGCTAATTATTTGAGGTCAGAACACCTCAAGAAGAAAAGCTAAATAAATATATCGTCGTTTAAAGTACAAAACCGCGTAAATTGTAGACTTTAAAGCCTGTCTTTTTAAGGCAGGAAGGGCAAGTGCGGTTATCATGTATGCTGCTAGACTTTCTTTAAAAAATGGCAAAATGAGCAGTGCTTTGTCCCATAGGCAAAATTAAAATAAAATAAAGTGCTTCGAATATGTAAATAAGTTACAAGCAGACCCGGCGAACTTCGTCCTGCCCAAAATTAATTTTTTTATTGAAACATTTGGACCAACGTTTCCGCCAGCAATTCACGTTGACGTTTGGTTTTTTGGTCGACAGAAGGCATATCCTTCATTGCGGTCTTAAATAACCTGACGAAAGCGTTATACCGGGAAGAAGTCCTTGCGGCTCGATAGTGAATCGTCCTTGGATCTGCATAGTATAGTTGGTGGCGATTTCCAAACTGGTGAGTATCATGGGTCCACATTCTGTTTAGTCACCGTAAAGTAAGGACCGCAATGGATCTGGTGGTTGATTTAACGGGCGTAATTTGACTTTGATCCCTAGTGCCTCCGAATCGACGATTTTTAACAATAACTTGGCTCTAGCGCCACTAAAAATTATCATTAAGTTATCGTCGTTTCGGTCATTTAGGAGGAGTTAAGCCACCAGAATAAGTCTTTTACATACTGATACTCTTCGGAATTTTTCCCATACAAAAAACTATCACGCATTCGTTATACGGAGGAAATGCGCAATATCATCAGCGACAAAAATTCTCAAAAATCAACGTTAACTTATAGCTATTTAAAACTTGCACTTTATGATACTGAAATTGAGTGAACTACAAAACTGCATTCTGCAAAATGAACTATATTTCTATAAAGAATTAACAAAAAAATTTATTATGAAAAAGAAAAGAACACTGTATTCTGTGTGTATATATTTACAGATAGGTAAAAGCTGCAATATGTTTGGAATGCGCCACGCCCCCTTTTCCAGTAGCCCCTAAATCTCTATACCAATTTCTAGGACACTAGCACAAATACATCCACAGGTATACGGAATGAAAAATTCGTCCAAAATTTCAAATAATCGGTACAGCCGTAGCCAATACAGCCGTTTTTTTAATTCTAAAATTTTTTTCCATCAGTGCACTCATTTAGTTTTTATCGTCCAACAACAAAAAAAAATACTGGAAAATTAGGCAATTGGAAAACAATGGTGTAAAAATCAATGTTAGCTGTTCAATAAATGACTATACATAAGTAACCTTATGGAATGTTATTTTCAGGGATTGAAGTCAGAAGGCCAAGCCTTAATTTAAGCCTAAGTGGAAGGTTCTATCACATTTTGCTTAATAGCGGTAGGTAAGTGAACCTTCCCAAAATCAAACTCAACTCAATGTACTAGTATCTCATGGCATTGAAAATACCGTCAAGTTTACATCTCTGCTTATAGCAATTTCCGTCTTACTCCACACCGTATCATACCAGCACCGATTTTGTTTCGGTCCACAAGTAGCCTTGAGACCTTTCCGACGCTAAAAGCATTTAGTGAAGATAAGTTAAGCAATATATCAAAAATAGCCTTAAGTTATACCGCCAAAGGTCCGGTACAGCACATGGCGATGGATTTTTGAAGCTTAGCGAATTTAAATTCCTATGCTTTTGACTGAGATTCTGTTTCACTACAACTCAGACGTTAAGCTAATGCCCACCTATTCTTGCATTCCAGTGGCTCTCTGCGTGAGCATTAAACGCATCTAACTTACCAGCAGAGAGTCAACTCCATGCCAAAAGATCATGTTCCATACCTAAGATAATTTGCAAGAGCCGTAATACTTCAATATTTTATTCTAGGCGCTTCCACAATAAGCCATTATTATTAACTCATATGATCAAAACTTTTAGGGTTCAAAAATTTTAATTTGCCTTCTGGCATTGGCTGCACTAGCGGCTCAAGCACCTTCTGTTAGTGGCGCCAAAATACATGCAGTCTACATATTTCCAGGAAGAAGTCACTTTCAGATGCATCCATCTTTGATTAGCGAGTTGGTGAAACATGGTCATCAGGTATATGCCGATTTTGACTTTCATTTTATTAAATGAAGTTAAAAGTATTTATGGTTAATTCACCATTAGGTCACCATGATCACCGCACTAACACTAGAGCCACTCAAACTGGGCAGCAACTACACTGAGATACTCATTGAGCCGGAATACGATATCTGGAAGATTGGTGAGTTTTTATGTCCTATCCAAACTAGACCGATGACGGAACATTTATTTCTCGCTCGTTACAGTTAGTAAAATAACTGGATCAAAATCGAACGTAGAACTTGAAACTAGATTATCACTGTTTTTTAAACTAATTAGTCTGTTCCAATAGCAGTCCGGTTTACAGGATTTAGTCAGAACTTACAGGAAGTCGTTCCTATTGACATAAAACCTGTAAGTGGGAACACATTTGGGAGAGTAACTGAGCAACTGTTCCTAGTCAGAAGTTACTGGAGTTAGTCCGGAGTTTTTTTTCCTGTAAGTTCATGAAAAGTGTCAAACGATCAGCTGACTTACATGTGCAAACAAAAACAGAAAGCGGTGAAAGCAAAGAACCTTATATTTGTTAAAAAATGGAAGTAAACAACGAAATATTTGAATATGTATAGATTTTAATAATTATTTAGTGATATTTCAGCCAAATCAGTGTAGTACCAATGACATGTAAACAAACCGTCTGACGTTTTTACAGGAAATAGTGCTTTTTGCGTTCCTATGCACTTCTGCATCTGTTCTCCTTTTAATCTCATTTGAGAGCGTAAAATTGTAGTTTGACAGTTCCACAGGTTTTAGTCCGAAGTTCAAAGGAACAGACTAAATGAAGTGTATAGCTGTTGTGACGAGCGAACATGCGTTAAAACAACCGAAGGTACAGGCTATTATTAATGCCAAACAAACTGAGGGTGTCTTCGATTTGCTGT